CTGTCAGTGTGTCATTGTTATTTCTTCAATGTTTATTCATACAATACATTAACAAATATATGTATGTTATTTTGTTATATCTTGTTATAATTTGTTCATTCCTTAACAGGAATAATTCTAAATTTGTTTGTGCAAAAATAATTATCCTATGATACAGTTTAAGAAAAAAACAATGCAACCAAAATGCTCAAGAGACATTTGTTGTTATTATTAGTGTGTAATACAATCTAACCCCACACATTGCATGCATGTAACCATGTTTATATGTAATACTTCAGCATAATTTACTGATTAATTCCATCATTTTAAGTAGGTTTTGCATGAATCAATTCTGTAGCTTATGTTTTTTGTATTAATAATTGCATTTTTGTATTAATATGGTTAATATATTTTTTATATAAATATTTAATAATTAATTTCTGTCACATTATTGAAATATAACATATTTGATATTATATTAATATTATTATAATACATACACTCACCGGCCACTTTACTATCGTCTCAGACTGTTTTCTTCGACATGACAATGAGTTCAATGTACTCAAATGGCCTCCACAGTCAACAGATCTCAATAGTGCACCTTTGGGATGTGGTGGAACTGGAGATTCACATTATGGATATGCAGCAGAAAAAATCTATGATAATATCATGTCGATATGGACCGAAACCTCTGAGGAATATTTCCAATACCTTGTTGAGTCTATGCCATGAAGCATTAAGGCATTTCTGAAGGCAAATGGGGATCCAACCCAGTACTAGTAAGGTGTACCAGCTAAAATGGCCAGTGAGTGTTCATATGCATGAATTTAGTTTAATTTAATGCTTAAAATGCCTATAATATATTCAGTGCTTAATTTTATTAAACTCTGCATGCTTCCAAACTGCACAAACTGTCATTTTTGACTAGACTAACACCAAACATTAAAATTAATCTGTCCAGGTCTGAGCTTGTATTTTCAACAGTGATATATCTTTAAAAACTCATCTGACCTACAACAAAAATATATATACTTCCACTTCCCTGCTCTTTTCTCCAAAACCCCCATCTTCCCATGCCCACCCGAATCCCCCCATGTGACAGACTTTTAATGCTGTACATATACCAGATCTGATAGGACTCCTAAATCGAGCTGTTTAGATGTCACACTATATTCCAAAGAAGCCTGACAGGCAAAAGGCAAAGTGGTTGCGAGTTGACTTGAATGAGTGTCATCTTTGTTTTCATGCGTTCTGCACTGGAAACAAAGTGCTGACACTGTGTGAAAGCTCTAATCCAATAAAGACACAAGCACTTGCTTTATATGGCACATCCCTGTCCAATTCTTGCCATTTGATGTTCGCGCAGCCCTAGCACTCCAGCACTTCACAATAGAAACGGACGATGATTAAAAGTCTAGGCTAAAAAGCTCATGTCATAAAAGACAGCCTCTGTCATCCACCAGCGTCAGTGTGGTTTTTAAGATAACCTTCTTCTGTTGAGAACGAACACAATGCGGACACCGCCAATGATCACAGGCCTTCAGTAGCATCAGTGAATGTACATTTTAAAAGGAACACACCACTTTCTTTGGAAATAGCCTCATTTTACAAGTCCCTCTAAAATTAAATGGTTGAGTTTTACCACTTTTTAATCCATTCAGATGATCTCTGGGTTTGGCAGGAGCACTTTTAGCTTAGCTTAGCATAAATCATTAAATCAGATTAGACCATTAGCATCTACTGCGCATACATTTTTAATTTTTTTAAATCATTTTCTTATTTAAAACTTGACTATTTTGTAGCTACACTGTGTACTAAAACTGACAGAAAATGAAACGTTGCTATTTTCTAGGTAAATATGGCTTGGGAATATCCTCTTATTCTGGCGTAATAATTCAGGGACTTTGCTGCTATACCATGGCTGCAGCAGACACATTTATATTACACAGTGTTGTTACTTAGTTACTATTTTCAGGGGCTGTAAAAATATCCCTGCGCCTGCTGTAGCCATGGTAGTTCCTTGATTATTACACCAAAATGAGAGTATAGTTCCCTTCCATATCAACCTGGAAAATAGCTTTTCATTTTCTTTTCATGTTCTTAGTACACAAAGTTATCATAAACAGGGTTCATACACATCTTTACTAGTAAAATTGCATGACTTTTCCAAGACTTTTTCAGAACTTTCAAGCACATTTTTTACAATGTAATGTTTTATGTAATGTCTACATAAACATGTTAAGTAATAAGAAAAACAATGACGTTAAAATTTATTAAAGCATGTCATAGAACATGCAACTATCTATTTTGTTAATTTTTTTTTTTATATCTATGTAAAATAGATTTTGAAAATGCTTACACAGCACTAACAATGTGAGAGCAAGTTTTTGGCCAAGGACAGAAAAGAAGTAAAGACAACTAACCTATATTCAAGTTAGAGTTATAATCATCTTTTCAGCATTGATATTGCAATGTGTGCATACGCAATAGTCATTTCGCAGGATATGCAATGTTGGGATTAAAGTTTAATATAGTTTAATTTTTAAAGAGATAGTTCACCCAAAAATTACTTACCATTTTCACTACACCCTTCACTTGTTTCAAACATTTATGAGGTTTCTTTTTTTTTAAATAAACACAAAACTAATATAATTTAAAAACTTGAAACAAGTGAAGTGTGAGTAAATAGTAAGTACATTTTAATCCTTGAGTAAACTGTCCCTTTAAAGCCTGTGACTGTGTGAACATTTCAATATATTTAAAGTTTTAAAACATCCGGCCACAAGAAATTTTTTGTAACTTCAATCAATATTAAATAATATCCAATGAAGACTATGTAGTATTAATTATTCAATATCTGAATAGTGAATACCTGAACACTATTATTCATGTTTCTTTTTTACTATATTTTATTTATCTATGTTCGTAATTTATGTGAAGTTTATTCATAAACTAATTTCGAGAGGATTACGTGCTTATGATTTATCACGGCCGGTCCCGTATTTGCTAATTACGTATTTGCTTATCATCTTCCATTCATATGAGCCCTAAGCTACTATGAATAACCACAGTTTTCAGTTCATTTTATCTTCGTTTGGAAGAATCACCCCTTCCCTATTCTCCTCCAGTGGTTAGCACTGTGAGCCTCATAGCAAGAACACTGCCGGCCCTGGTCCCATAGGGCCGGTGGGTGTTTCTGTGAGGAGTTTTTATGTTCTCCCCGTGTCTGCGTGGGTTTTCCCCAGGTTCTCCGGTTTCCTCCCACCATCCAAAGACATTCAACACGTATAACAATCAAGTATTTGTCTAACCCCTCGTGTTCCCTTAGCTACCGCAGTCGGGGAGTTCTGAGATCCACCAAACTCAGGCTCCCCTCTAGCTCTGCCAACGGGAGGAAGCCCTGGGCTCGAGGATCCCTTGAGCTCGGGGCTCTCTCCCAGGACAGCATGCCAAACAAGGTTTTATAAATCATCAGCTAAGTGTGAACTCTTGAATTGTTATACATCATTCGAGATTCCTTCCCCTACAAAATCCTCCCAATCAATCCAAATAAACTTGCATTTCATCCAATGAAATTGTATTCACATCGCAATATATATTACAGAAACACAAAATATGGTTATGTCAGATTTTTCCAATATCGCGCATGCCCTAATTCATGTACATACAGATATTTGTTAAACTAATTTCCATGACTTTTCCAAAACTTTGTTGGTTTTTCTGTTTTTCCAAAACTTTTCCAGGCCTGGAAATTGCCATGTCAAAATTCCATGACTATTCCAGGTTTTCCATGACCATATGAACCCTGTACAAAAATGTCAACCTTTAAATAAGAAAAAAAAAATAAATAAATAAATAAATAAATAAATAAATAAATAAATAAATAAATAAATATATATATATATATATATATATATATATATATATATATATATATATATTTATTTTTTTTTTGTTTTTTTGTTTTTTTGAGCAAGATGCTAATGGTCTAATCCAATTCAATGAATTATGCTAAGCTATGCTAAAAATGCTCCTGCTAATCTGGAAATCTGCTAAATAGGTTTAAAATTTGTAAAACTCAATTATTTAACTCTAGGGCACTTGAATCAAATGAGCTTATTTCCAAAAAAATGAGCCCCAATTTAACCACAGCAGACCTTATCGCAATACACTGTGCCTTTTTTGTGGAATTTTCCTTCTTGCAATTTTAATTTTCAGTCTGCAGACGGCAAGAATTTCTTCAGCGTTACTCCTAACAGTATTTTAACATCTCCTGAATAATGCAGTACATCATCATTTTCGAGCCCAGACACCACATCAGCTGCGAGGCACGATATAATACATTTTAAATAACCGAGGCATCATGGATCTCCCCGATCTGAGGGACATTTTTCATCACTAGCTTTTGAAAATCAAGACTGAGTTGATGAATTTTCCGCAGGCCTCAGACGTAACCCATCAATCCACATAAAATATCGAGGTCCTTGGAGCTAAAACAAAAGAACGGACATCACAAACCGTGGCGTTTACGTTTTATCAGGTGTTGGGGGGAGGGGAAAAAAGCATAATATATACTTGGGATCTTCTCCAGCATTCAAACTTGTGAGTTGTGAAGTGTCAAGCCTTGCAGGATTCATCTCCTACGCTTCTAACTGCGAGGTTCAATTTATCTTCCCCATGAGCTGTGTATGGCAGAGCGGTTTTGCATGACCACTGCCAGCTGCCTTAATCCTAGCCTGGGTTGCACTTTTACGCCGTCTAATTCAGCAGATCTAATTCAGAGATCATTTAAAAAGCTGCAGGGATGGAGCCCCAGCAAAAGTGGAATCCTGCACAACATAAACGCTCCAACCGTTGAGCGTTTACTCTTGCACACAACTCAAATACATCATGAAACAGGCCTTGCTGAGTGACTTTAGTCCACTCGAGTAGGTCAGCAGAACTGCAGTACAAACTGACAATGCACCACCATCAGCTCTAGCAATTCAGATCTGAAAAGATAAAAACATCAGTCTTACCTCCCAAAACTTGTTGGAGAACTGCAGCAGGAGTATTGGGAAAGAGAGAGAGGAAAAAAAAAAGAGAATAAATCAACGCATGTACATGTAATATGCCATTTGTCATTCACTGTTAATGAGCAGAATACAAATGCCAGTGCTAAAGATAGTATTTATGTATAAATAATTGCTGGGTGAGTATGAAAATATCATGAGGTTTTTGATTATGGCTCATGTTTAAGCAAATCTATCTTGTTTGAATGTCAAAACCGTTCAATCAATTAAACCAGATGTTTTGCAGCAAAAAAAAAAAATTAAATAAAAATGCAAAGCACTATAAATATACATTCAAAGGTGACCAATTGTGCGCCTTTTTACAAGATGTAAAATAAGATTCTGATGTCTTTACAGTGTGTATGTGAAGTTTCAGCTCAAAATACCACACGTTTACTTTTCTTTATTTTAACTTGTTCTTTTTAAAGCTGTCCCTTTTAGGCGTTAATCCAAATTTTGCTGTTTTGGTGGCTGTCACTTTAAATTCAAATGAGATTGCGCTCCCAGCCTTCTTTTCAAAAGAGAGTGGAGCTATAAACGCTTCAGCTTAGTCCCCTTATAAATCGAGGGGAATGAACCTTCAACTTATTGAGTATATGTATTTACACAGCGAATGCCCTTCGAGCCGCAATCCAGCACTGGAAAACACCCATACACTCTTGCAATCACACCCACACATACACTATGGCCAATTTAGCTTATTCAGTTCCTCGCGTATGCCCTTCCAGCTGCAACCCAGTACTGGAAAACATCTATACATACTCAATCACACACATACTGTACTCTATGGCCAATTTAGTTTATCCAATTCACTGTGGGGGTAACTGGAGCACCCTGAGAAAACCCACATGAACATAGGGAGAACATCCAAACTGCACACAGAAATGCCAACTGACCCAACCGAGGCTTGAACCAGTGACCTTTTTGCTGTGAGGAGACAGCGCTACCTACTGCACCAGCATGCTGCTTAGCAGCAGATTCAAAACTTTAATTTCAATTTTCTTTTGATAAACACACAGAGAATGTTTTTAAAAAGGCTCAGCAGTGGTTGAGTTTGTTGAGAAAACTCAGAAATTTTTAAATTGAGAAGAACATTTTGATTGTCGTATGTAAATCACTTACTGAATCTGTCCTTACTTTTAATGCTATAGCCTGATTTAACCCCCTCCATGTTTAAAGAAAAAACAAACTTTTAAGATTAGTAAATGTAGTGAATGACTACGATTTATTTACTGTATGGCAGCAAAAAAGAAAAAAAGAAGAAAAAAAAACTCCACTATTGTGGAAGACTCTTCCCATGCTTCATGCCCAGAGCCAGGGGGTTTGGGTGGTTTGGAAGACCCACCCCTCACTGACAAAGGTCCAGAATTTGTCCCATACATGAGCTCCGAGCTCCTTTTTGTCCAGTTTTGACTGCAATGCCATCATAGTGAAACTACCCCCCCCCCCCCCCCCCCCCTCCTAAAAAAAAGACCAAGCGGAACCCTGCTGTTATGTCAAATAATCTGTTTTGGTTAAAGCAAACAATTATTTTTCAAGAGTCCAAAATCTGTGCAAGAAAACATGACATAGGCAAAGTCATTATTATTATTAGAATTATTTTATACATTAATTTTCTCGTTGGCTTAGTCCCTTTATTTATCCAGGGTCGCCACAGCGGACAATTTAGCCTACCCAATTCACCTGTACCACATGTCTTTTGGACTGTGGGGGACACTAGGGCAACCGGAGGAAACCCACGCGAACGCAGGGAGAACATGCAAACTCCACACAGGAATGCCAACTGAACCAGCGACCCAGCGACCTTCTTGCTGTGAGGCAACATCACTACCTACTGCACCACTGCTTCGACAATTATTATTATTATTATTATTATTATTATTATGTTTTTTTATTCAAATGGCCAAATTATGAATGAAAAAAGTTGAATGTGCTGGCCAGTTTGTTATTTTTAATTTAAAACTTTTTCTAAGGATAAATGATTTAATAAATTTATATTTTAAAAACAAATATTTGTCATATTTCTTTATTCTAAATATATAGGATATATTTTAGGTACATCAAAAAGTGTGGTTATGATGACCATCCAAATTCAGCTAAAACAGTGCTTAAAATGTCCCCTAATTTCAGTATTTAAATCTATAATTAAATATATTAACTGCAAAAAGGTAGACTTTTTAAGAAAAAAGAACCATCCCTTTTACCAGGCTGGCTACAAGCCAGTCCTTTATAAGGTTGCTTTAAGTTACTTCTATATGGCAGACAGTACAAAGTCCCTTTAGTAAAACAGGCTAAATATAAGAAGACATTTATTCCCGATGCCATTGTTTTTTTTTATTTGTTTTTTTTTATAGGTTCTTAAAATAATTGTGTAAGTGTATTTGGGTTGTGCTTTTGTGTGTGAGCCTCTGTCTAAAGACAGTTTTCTAACACCAGTGGGATAGATATTAAAGTTTATTGAATTAATGGTGTATGGCTGCTTCTCACTCAGGGCTGTTTATGCTAATGAGGAAGAGATTGTTACTAATGGGTGCGGCTTTTCCCCTCTGATGACAAGTACAAAGAAAGAATGTCAATCAAAGTGATTCAACAGACTCTCTTTATAAATTTTGATTTAAAAAAAATATATTTATTTATGTTTCACCATTAGAGGCTGGCTACATTCACACTTTTGCCTCACAACTGTGTTCAAACCCCTTATGGAAAGTAATTTTTGCATAGCAGGTCCCCTTTAATACAAGTTGCTTGATAATCCTACATGAATATTCAGGTGTCGGAGCAAAGCATAAAGTGAATACAAGGCAAATACCCTATGCATCAGTAAGAAAAAGCATATTAAGTAACTCTGAGGGTAAATGTCTCTTTTTAAAGTGGTTAAAGTATTACTCAAAAGCGAACAGGAGATCTTCGAGGGCATGCGAACTAAAATACCAGCACTTGAGCGTACAGTAAGTACTTGCGGATGTTGTTGGCAGAAACTTTAAAAAGCTCATAATTGCATCGTTGGAAGCTCACTGTAGATTTGAGTATGACTAAAACAGGATAAAAATTCACGCACCACTTGTTTGAGTCATAAATCAACTCAAATGTTATTGTCATCACTGCAGATGACTGTTTATAGTAGATGTCTAGATGATTAGACTCATGGGAGCGAAGACGCATGTTGCTTGTGTTGTTTTCAGAGATACAGAGATTACATCTATAAATGGGAGTTTCTTCAACTTCAGGAACTTTTATTTCCCAGGGGTTGACTTTTATTAACACTAACAGATTTCAACCTTTTTTTTTTCATTTCTTATATGAAGGTCATTATTAAACTGTCTCCAAAACAACTCTGCCTCCAAAGATACCTATTCCTACAGAATAGTAGGTCAAATACTGTTTATGTAGTGTTTAAAGCATCCTGGTGACCTACATTACTATGATAAGACCATTAGATCAATGGTAGATAGTTAGTGTAAGTCATTATATATATATATATATATATGTACATATACATATATGTATATATATGGTATATTGTCCTATATATTTACACAATTACTTTTTTTCTACTACATGTACTTTTTATGTAATTGTACATAATTATTATAATTGATTAAAATCACTGGGGTTTTTTTATAGAGCAAAGATCACAATGAGATCATATTTAATCCCACAATGCATTTCGAAAGCATAGATTAATGGTAAAACAACTGTGACTCATTGGGAAATTATTTAACAGATGCTTTTAAACTGCATGGCAGATTTCATTCGTACTACATACAGTATTCTTATTTTTAACTTATACAGCATGTGATTTCAAGCATACCTCATGGTTGTCTATCAAAATCCATTTTAATCTATATTTTTGTAAAATGTATGATGAACAATTCATTCATTCATTTTCCTTTGGTATAGTCCCTTTACTTATCAGCTGTCGCCAATGCAGAATAAACTGCCAACTGATCCATAGCATATGTTTTATGCAGCAGAAGGCTTTCCAGCTGCAACCCAGCACTGGGAAATTATCAACAATGTTCATCCTGAAATCTTAAAGTGATGGTTTACTCAGAAATCAATATTCTGTCATCATAATATTCATCTGTTAATAGCTCCAAACCTGTTTGACTTTCTTTGGTTGAAGATAAAATATTTATTTTCATTGAATCTAGACACGTAGCTTTTAGTGCTAGTTCTACCAGGAAGACATAATATCACGTCACTCATCAAGTCAAGTGGAGCTTTACTGTCATTCCGTTACATGTGTGGACATACAGAGGAACGAAATGTTATGTCTCGCAAGACAACGATGCTACATAAATTAATCATAAACACAAACACAATACTGGACATACAGCAAAAGCTATTTTAAAAAACCGATGCATAACTAACATATACTATAAAGTGCTTAACTATACACATGAGACAGGCTCAATCAGTTCTAACCAATAGCCACGAGACTCAAGAAATATATAAGTCCATTCATTTGGTTGCAGATAGTGAAGTGGACATTCACTCACCATCCACCCCACCACCACCAGGTCAGCCTTGTCCAGTGGGGTAAGCTTCGCCCCTGCCTTCGTCCTCAGAAGCCATAGCTGGATCTAAAAACTGCTACAGCTACAGACTTCAATTCAGGGCCTTCACCAAAAAATTCCAATGTTTTGTAAAATCATATTTTTTATCAAACTTTAATCATCAAATAAATGCAATTCGATATCATATTCATCGCCCTGGTCTTTCTGGTAGAACTACTGACCATTGACTCCATAGTATTGTTTTGTCCAACCATGGAATTCAATGGTTACAGGTATAGAAATGTCCAGATCTAATCACGTGAGTAGAAATCGGGCCCGATCACGCAGTTTTAGACTCAATCGGAATCGGATGTTACCTCCCGATCAGGACTCAAATATCCCGGATGGGGGAGGAGGACGGTTGAGGAGGGGGATTGGTAAAATGACTTGCCGGAGCAAATTTCAGAGGTGCCGGATATGGCGTGTTCC